CACAGCATGATCATCTTCAGCAGCATCATCCGCATCCTCATTATCCTCCTCCTCCTCATTATCATTATCGTCACACTTGCTCTGATCCTCCTCGCAACCCTGACTCTCCGCATTTCCCTTTGTACTATGGCCATCTTCCTGCCCCCCTCCTCCCATCCTCTCCCACCTCCCACCCTCTCAATTCCCACCCCCGAGCTTCCTCCTCCATCCCTTCATCGCCGAGTCCAGTCCCCCTCTGACACCACCGCCCCCGCGCGCTAACCCGAAGTCGTTTTCTACACCCGAGGCACGCCGCGATCGCAGCGTGGCAGGCTGTGCGGAGCACGGAGAACGTGGCGTCGACCTCGGGAACGTTCTTGAGCAAGACCTCCACCTGCAGCTCCAATTCTTCCTGCTCCTTCCTGTCGATCCTCACCTTCTCCTTGCTATCACCCACTTCGTCGTTATCCTAGGTGCCCTCCTCCTCATCGCCACCATCCTGTATTCCCTCCTCCTCCTCCTCCTCCTCCTCCTCCACCTCCTTCTCATCCTCTCATTCCTTCTCCGATAAATCCTCGTGCGCATCATCGCCATCCCTCGTCTTTCCCAGATTCCATCCTCCAACGCATTGTCGTTTCCCTTCACCTCTTCCCCTCCGCCCCGCATTTCTGCGTTCCAGCCGCCAGCTCGGCCATCTGGTGCAAGGACCGCGCATGCACCGCGCAGTCCCGCCTCAAAAACTCGCAGTGCCCTAAAACGAACGATTTCTTCGAGCCAACTTCCTCCACGTAGCTCACGAAAGCCTTGGAGAGGTCGGCCGCATTGACGGCCGGAACATGGCGACGGACAGGTGGGGCACTCATGGTGCCAGAAATGCTGGAACTCAGCCAAATGCGCTGCGTGTGCGCGCGCTCTCACCAGAAAGAGTGGGAGTCAGAATCAGAAGCATGCTCAACCCTGATCAGGGGTGACCATACTTCTGATTCTGGCCCCCACTCCTTCTGGCGATAGTGGGAACGGAACTCCCAGCATTGAGAGCGGGAGTGGGAGAAGATAATAATGCGCACTGGAAACGGAGTTTAGAATGAAGTGGGGTAATGGAGGTTGGGGTATCGCATGGAGCAGGAGTGGACGCACCACTGGGTGCAAGAGTAGCGGGGGGGGGGGGAGCGCGAGTAAGATAATGAGAGCAGCTGGGAACATACTTGTCGTGCTCACTCACTCCTAAATTCTTCCTTCTCCCCCTCCTCCCTGTTTCCACTCCTCCCCTCACCCCTCCATCTTCATCGCCATCACCATCATCATCCTCATCGTCATCATCGCCATCATCATCATCACCATCATCATCCTCATCATCCTCATCATCCTCCTCATCATCATCATGATCATGATCATCCTTCTCATCATCAGCAGCATCATCATCATCAGTGCGAACGGTTGAGGTGACGGCCACGATGACGACGAGAATGATGGTGCTGATGATGGTGGTGATGATGGTGATGATGATTGTTGGGGCGATGCTGAGAATGCGGACGTTGATGCGGATGATGGTGATGATTACGGCGGAGGTCGGGGCCCTCTGGGGGCCCCTCGCGACACCATTGCCCCCGAGCGCCGACGCCCCGCGGAGGCGCCCAGATAGCCCCGATGGGGCCCGCAAGGGCGCTGCAAGACAGGAGGGCGGAGCACGGATGGGGGGAAGGAAAGAGGGGGGGAGAGGGGGGGGGGACCTCCTCCGCCCCCCCCATTTACCCCATGCGGGGCCTCGGGCACGGGCGTCTCAGCGATCTCGACCTGCAGGGCTGCGGCTGCGGCTGCAGAACTGCTGGTCAGCCTCGGCCCGCTGGGGTGGGCGCAGAATCGCCCGCGCGGGCGCGCCGATCTTCAGCCCAGGGCGCGCCTGCGAACGCGTCCTGGGCTGATGATCGGCGCGCGCGCAAGTGGTAATGCGCCCGCCCATCCACGGGCGCCTGGGCCCGAGCACGGGCCCGCGCCTCCGCTGCGTCGCGCGCCGCCACGGCGGCCGCGAGGACCGACACGGCATCCTCCCACTGGGTGCGGGCGCGGGCCCAGGAGCGCCACGCCGCGTCGACGGCCGCCTGCAACGTCTCTGCATCGAAGACGTCGGACGCCTCGAAAGCGTCGCCCCCCAGCAAGCGCAAGCGGGCTGGGGGCGGAAGTGGCGACGGCGCGGCGGGGCGCGCCGCTGGCTGTCCAGCCGCACTGTCCGCCAGCAAGTGTTCTGGGGGCGGACCTGCAGGCGGCGACGGCGTTGTGGGGCGCGCCGCTGGCGGTTCGGCATCAAGCAACGCCAGCAGGTGGGCTGGGGGCGGACCTGCAGGCGGCGACGGCCCCGCTGGCGGTTCGGCATCACGCCTCGCCAGCAGGTGGGCTGGGGGCGGACCTGCAGGCGGCGACGGCCCTGCGGGGCACGCCGCTGGCGGTTCGGCCGCACTGTCCGCCAGCAGGTGGCTCGGGGGCGGACCTGCTGGTGGCGACGGCGCGGTGGGGCGCGCCGCTGGCGGTTCGGGCACACGGTCCGCCAGCAAGTGGGCTGGGGGCGGACCTGCAGGTGGCGACGGCGCCGCGGGGCGCGCCGCTCCATCGCGCCTGGGCTGCTCCTCCACGAGAGGCTGCTGCTCCATCGCGGCCGCGCTGCGCGTGGCTACCGCCGCGAGCTTGCAGCCCAAAAACAAGGGTGAGGAGGAGGGCAGCAGGATTGGCGCGACGGCTGCGCTTTCGTGGCACCTATAGGGAGCGCCACTCACGTTTCGTAGCACACCACTCACGTTTCGTGGCCCTATAGGGCGCGCCACCCAAGGTCCCAGTAGCGCCGTCCGCATGACGGCGAGCGCCACTCACGTGTCGTAGCACACCACTCACGTTTCGTGGCCCTATAGGGAGCGCCACCCAAGGTCCCAGTAGCGCCGTCCGCATGACGGCGCCGCCCCACGTTGGCGCACCCCTTCGCACATTTGATGCCCTGTTTGGGCCCTCTCGGGACCGCGTTGGGCCCCTCGGACTCGGGGATCCCGCTGGAGACTTCCTCGGGTCCTTACAAACCGAAGCTTGAACTGGATAAAGGGCTGCTCATAATCAATATTACGAGGAATGGTAGAACGGAAATCAGATATGGTAGAGGAGGGAGAAAAGGAGGATGTAGGATTCTCAGCAGGAGGGCGAGCACCACGTGGATGAGGATGATCAGCCAGAGGAGGAGCACACTGTATAGGAGGATGATGTTGATGATGCCAGTGACTGATGGTTGACGCTATGGGCCATGATGGTGGATAACATGGAATTTCAAATGATGGCTGTGACGTGCAGTAACGAATGTGGCAATGATAATAGAAATCGTACATGCTGCAAAGGCGATTTATATGATGATGTTGCTGCTGATGATGATGTTGATGATGATACGCTGACGAATACGATTGTGAACCTGATACTGGTGAGCACGATACTTGCACAGCGAAGCGCTACAATGATGAAGATCACCACCAATCAAAATCGTCAGCATTCCCCACCGACCCACCACCATCACTCACCATCGTCATCGTCACCGCCGTCAGCATCAGCATCATCAACATCATCATGGCCGTCGCCATCACCTTCATCATCATCATCATCATCATCATCATCATCATCATCATCATCATCGTCATCGCCATTATCGCCGTTATCGTCACCATCATCGACGGCCATTTTGGCACACCCTTTCACACGTGCCGTGGCCCCATAGGGAGCCCCACCAAAGGCACCAGTGGCGCCGTCCGCACGGCGGCGCCGCCCTAATTTGACACACCCCTCACACGGTTCGTGACCCCAAAGGGAGCTCCACCTACGGCCCCAGCGGCGCCGTCCGCATGGTTGCGGACGGCGCAGTCCGCAGTGGCCCCTACGGCCCCAGCGGCGCCTATGTATGCCCCATATGCCATACGTGTAATCTCATCGCGCTGCCCCAAACAGTGCTTGCAACCATGCTACACAACATGCGGCACCCATCAAAGATCACGACAACACAAACCACCGCCACCCCCCAAAAAAACTGGCACAACTTAGACAATATGCCCAAGCACAACCATGCTGCCCAGTCATGGAGGAGGGTGGGTGGACGAGGCGGAGGAGATGGATGGGGCAGCCAATCATCCTTCGAGATGGCCCCTAGGGTGCTCTAAGAGGCGTCCTGAAAACTCCCAAGAAGTTGCACGTCGGAGGCCCAACACAGCGAACTAGAATGCACACGGTCATCACTGAACTTTGCACGTGCACCACTACACCGACATTATTGTGCCTGGTGTGAGTGTGGTAGTGATCGTGTTGGCGATGGCTCAGGTGGTGATGGTGGCAGTACTGATCTTACGATGGCGCCCACGATGATACCGATGTTGACGCAGATGATGGTGACGCTGGTGTGTCTGCCGATGCCGATGATCATGGCGATGGTTGTGATGGTGGGGGTGGTGGTGGCTAGTTAGTAAGGCGGGTTGTGCATTGAAGCCGCGGCCGAATTGAAGTCGCAGCCGTAGGTTAATAGTTTAGAATCTGCATGCGCAGTGCTGCTAGTAATAGTTTAGTAAGTAGTCAGTAGCTTAGCTGAGTGCAGTGGGTACTTTATGTAAGTAGTTTCGGAATCTAGTGTAGTTTGGTTAATGGTTCAGTTCCTGGGTTAGTCGTTTACACCTACAAGCACACGTGCGCAGCAAACGTTTGCAGCGATTGGCAAGCAAACGTTTGACGCGCATGTGTGTTCGAAGCGCGATTTACACACGATCGAGGGGCGCAAGAATCGGTCGTGAAATACCGGGATTGGAGGACGCTCGCGTCGTCGGTTTTCGGGAGCGAACATGCCGAATAATCGGTCGCGAAATACCGAGATCCCGAATCTGAATCCCAGTATCGGCATCACGCGCACTTCGTCTTGCAATACCGGGATTGGACCACTCGTTTTGATTTTCGGTCGCTCCCCATCATGCAAACTCGCTACCGAAAATCTTCGGTAGCGCATCATCTGGGCTGGCGTCTCTGCGGGCCCTCCGCGCCGTCCTCCGCGCAGGCGGCCCCGCTCCCCGCGAAGACCGGCAGCTCGGCGGCGTCGAGCGGCGACAGCGCGCCGCCGGCGAGGCCGTGGACGCGGATCTCCTCGCGGGCGCCACGGCGGCCGCTCGCCGCGGCGGCTGCGGCGGCAGCGACGGCGGCCAACGGCCGCGGCGGCGACGACGACGGCGGCGCCCAAGAGGCCCCCAAGACGGCCCCAGAACGGCCCCCAGAGGCCCCAAGGCGGCCCCGAGAGGGCCCCTATAGACGGCCCCAAGAACCAAGACGCCCAAGGTGGCCTCTTCGACGGCCCTGGAGCACCCCCAAGAGGGCCCCAAGTCGGCCCAGAGAGGCCGCAGCTGAGGCGGCGGGAGCAGCGGCCGCAAGGACGGCGGCGCCGGCTGAAGCGGCGCCAACGGCGGCGGCTGCGGGGGCGGCGGCTGAAGCGGCGACGTCGGCGGCGGTGGGCGCGGAGCTCCTGCGTGCCGCACGTGTAGACCGTCAGGCACCGCGCGTCGGGCGCGGCCGGTGCCACGCAGAAGCGGCGCGTGTCCTCGGGGACGGCGTGCGTCGAGGCGGAGACGCCTTTGGCGAAGCCTTGGCAGCGGCCCCCCCTGGCAGGCCCGAGCTAGCTCAGATCGCGAAAGTGGATCGGATCATAAAAGGGATCGGGTCACCAGCGAATCTGAAGGGGCCCTGGGACACACAAATAAATACACACAAATAACAGGATTCCCCATACTTTCATATATATTCGGGGCTTTTGCCTTCCCCCCCACTTCCCATATTTTCCCATCCTTTCCTGGGAATCGGCGATGAATTGTGTGTCTGTGTGTTTGTTCCTTTCCTGCGAAGCGTCCCGAACTGGATGGAGATCGGCGCGCCGCGCCCAGCTCGGCCCTGGCCCAGGCCGGTGCCAGTGAAGGAAGCCGAAGCGGATCGGATCGGAGCCGCGGCCCCAACCCGCGAATCGAATCATCGAATCGGATCGTGGGCAGCCCTGCCTGACCTCGTCGCGTCGTGATATATATATATATATACATAAGCGGTGGCCAGCTGTTGGTTATGTTCTGCGTCCGGGGCCCATGCCAGGCCCCAGGACCGTCGGAGGACGAGTCTAAATGGGGCCCTGGGACACACAAATAAATACACACGAGTAAAATGATTCCCCAACTGTTTCTATATTTTCTGGGTTTTTGTCTTCCCGCCCAATTCCCATATTTTCCCCATTTTTCCTGGGACTCGACGATTAATTGTGTCTGTGTGTTTCTTTCCCTCCTGAGAGTCGAGATGAAAAGCCGGTCCCAGGGAAAGAGTCCAGAGCTCTCGGGGCCACGTTTTGAACCCCATCTCGAGGTCGGACTTCTGGGTCTTGCTCCTCCTGCGCCCTGATCGCTGGCGGCCGTCCAGTCCTGCTGGACCGAAGCCGTCGGTTCCTCCTCTCGTTGCTCACCGGCCAATTCTGAAATACCCGTGCGGCCAAAAGCGGGCGATAGCCGAAGGCCGAAGACAATCAACATTCATAATTCGAGTCATACTCACGGTACTCATGAGGCGAAGCGTGCGAAGAGACCCGCGCGCGCCCAGAAGGACCTAAAGGGGCGACGGGCACTGGCCCAGACGGAGTGTGCCCCAGAGAAGGCCCCACGTAAGCCAAGCGGAGAGCCGCTCAGCTCCTCCTCCTTGTCTGAAGGGGCCCAGGGAGACACAAATAAATGTACACAAATAACCGGATTCCCCATATACTTTCCAATACTTTCTGGGTCTTTGTCTTCCCCCCCCCACTTCCCATATTCTGCCATATCTTCTCGGAAATCGATGATTATTGGTGTCTGTGTGTTTTCTCCCCTCCTCCCACCGGGTTCCTGCCCAAGGCGTTCCTTTGCAAGCACATCGTCCTCGGCACCGCCGGATTCCGGGGCTTTGCCCTCTCTTGGCCTTGACGTGAGGCCCCTCCTTCTGTTTTCCTTCCTCTGTTGATTAATGCTGTGCGCGGCCCGCTTAGCTTCGACCGGAGAGAGGCTCGCTCTCGACCCGCGGATCAAAAAATTATCCCGGCAAAGCAACCTAACAACGATGTGTAGGAGCATATCTGGAAGCATTCTCCTTAAGATTCAGATGAGAATCCATTTGTAGAATTGTGCTGTTCTCGCAGTCGTAGTCGCATTCGCGATGACAGTCGCAGTGGCAACGGCAATCACAGACACAGCCTCAGCCTCAGCCTGCCTCAGCCTCAGCCTCAGCCTGCCTCAGCCTCAGCCTGCTTCAGCCTCAGCCTCAGTCTGCCTTCAGCCTCGGCCTCAGCCTCAGCCTGCCTCAGCCTCAGCCTGCATCAGCCTCCTCAGCCTCAGCCTCAGCCTCAGCCTGCCTCAGCCTCAGCCTGCCTCAGCATTCAAAATGTGGCCCGGGAATAAAGTTCTGGGAACTCGAAGAACACGAAGTGGCCTACAGTTGGCTCCGGGCATTCAAAATCATGCCCAGGAATGGAGTTCTGGGAACTCGAAGACCACGAAGTGGCCTACAGTTGGCTCCGGGCATCCAAAATCTGGCCCGGGAATGGAGTTCTGGGAACTCGAAGAGCACGAAGTGGCCTACAGTTGGCTCCGGGCATCAAAATGTGGCCCGGGAATGGAGTTCTGGGAACTCGAAGAGCACGAAGTGGCCTACAGTTGGCTCCGGGCATTCAAAATGTGGCCCGGGAATGGAGTTCTGGGGACTCGAAGACCACGAAGTGGCCTACAGTTGGCTCCGGGCATTCAAAATCTGGCCCGGGAATGGAGTTCTGGGAAGTCGAAGAGCACGAAGTAGCCTACAGTTGGTTCCGGGCATTCAGAATGTGGCCCGGGAATGGAGTTCTGAGAGGTCGAAGAGCACGAAGTGTGTGACTGTTGGCTTTAAACGACTTCTGCGGCACCCTGTCCGGCACCCGCCCAGACCCCCCTGTGGAGTCATCTGCTGCTCTCTTTTGACACCACTAGAAACCTATCAGAACAAGCTGTTAGGTAAAAATGTGTTTTTCCCCTCCTCCTTGTCCCCCCTCCCGCTCCCGAAGCCCTTCCCGCCGTGGGCGGGTCCAGATCGCAGCCCCCGGCGCCCTGGCCTCCCCCCTCCTCGTGTGGCTCCCGCTCCTCCTCCTCTCCTCGTCTGCTGCTCCTGCTGCTCCTCCTCCCTCCTCCTCCCTTCACACCCTCTTTCGCCTCGACCTCGTCGTCGTCGTCGTCCTCCTCCGCCACCTTCAGCGCCTCCTCTTGCACCTCCTCCTCCTCCTCCATCTCCTCCTCCTCCTCCTCCTCCTCCTCCTCCTCCTCCTCCTCCTCCTCGTCTCCCAAGCCTGCTATTGTTGTTCTTGCGCCCTCCTCCTACTCCTCCTTTTCTCTCTCCTTCTCTCTCCTCCTTCTCCTCCTCCTCCTCCTCTTCTCCTCCTCTTCGTCGTCCTCACCTTCGTCGTCCTCGCCCTCATCCTCGGCCGCGCGGACGACGATTGTGGGCAACGAGGGCCAAAACAGCGACGGCGACGGCGACGACGCAACAACCACAGACGTCCACGGCGGTGGCGGCACCGACGGCCACGACGGCCGACGCGGCCGACAGCACGACCACCGACGGTGGCGATGACCGCCACTCGAGAGCCGCCGCTCGGGCCGCCCGAAAGGCGGGACCCGAAGGGCCCAGACCTCTGACGTTATAACTTTTCTTCACAGCGTCGACCCCCGGAGGCCTCGATCCCCTCCAACTTCTCCTCCTCCTCCTCCTCCTCCTCCTCCTCCTCCTCTTTCTCCTCCTCCTTCCCCGGGACCGGCTCCCCATCCCGAATCGTTCTGTCGCGGTCCCCGGGCCCAGCGAGGGCCCCCCGAGGCAGAAGGCCGGCACAACGCACGGCCGTCGTGATGTCGTCGCGGCGCGAGGATGGGGGGGGTCAGACTCCGCGGCCACAGAGGTCACGACCGCTTCCCCAGGTCCACGGCCTTTCGAGGAGGAGGAGGAAGAGGTGAAGGAGGAGGGGGAGGAGGAGGAGGAAGATGAGGAGGAGGAGGAGGAAGAGAGAGGGGAGGAGAAGGTCCGCGGCCCCAGGGGTCGCCTTCCGCCCCCCGATCCATTCTTGAGGTCCCCGGGCCTAAAAAACTGCCTCTGGCCAAAGGCGGGGAAACGGAACGCCGATCGAGGCTCCCGCTCGCCCGACACAGCAGAGGCCCCCAGAGGCCTTCGGGGGCCGCCCTGGAATTCCGAAGACAATCGCAAGCACGGTGTGCCTCGATCGCCGTCGACACTTAGCCGTCCTCGTCGTCGTTCGTCCTCGTGGTGGTCGTCCTCCTCCTCTTCCTCCTCCTCCTCCTTCTCCTCCTACTCCTCCTCCCCCTCCTCCTCCTCCTCTTCCTCCTCATCCTCCTCTTCCTCCTCCTCCTCCTGACGCAAAGGCATCCTCGAAAGTATACCCCACACACTCACGTCGTGAGGTGGGGGGTGGGGCGCAGGGCTCAGAGAACAGTGCACTTGGGCGCAGGCAGATCTCCCCCCGGGAGGGATCGGAGCAGGGATCGAGGATCGAGGATCGAGGATCGGACGAGGGATCGAAGATGGGAGGAGGGATCGAGGATCGAGGATCGGACGAGGGAGCAGGGATCGAGGATCGGACGAGGGATCGCAGATGGGAGGAGGGCTCGAACCGCAATCCCCGAAGAGTCGCTTCGTGGGAGTGAGTGGGGGGTGGGGCAAGCCAGGGATGGGAGGTCCAGCGCCGAACCATGGAATCCGCGCAGAGCTCCGAAAAAAAATGTTTACGCAGCTGTTTCCTAGGCGATGTTCGGTGCGCAAGGTTTTCGGACGTTTTTCCCCACATGTTTCGTGGGGTTCTGGTTTTCTTCCCTGCCGCGGCGCACCCGCGTCTCCTCACCTCCCTTTTCGTCTCTCTCTCTCTCTCTCTCAAACACCTCACTCTTCCCCTCCTCCTCACAGCACTGCTCAGCACAGCTCAGCTCAGCTCAGCACAGCACAGCACGGCACAGCTCACCGCACGGCAGCACAGCACAGCACAGCACAACGCCACAGGGGGTGCGCTGGGGGTGGGGGCCCTATGCGTTGTAGGCTCCCAGGGCGTGGCAGGCGTGGCATTTCCTGGGCGCCGCAGGGGGTGCGCTGGGGGTGGGGGCCCTATGCGCTCCGTGCAACGCATAGGGCCCCCACCCCCCCCAGGGGTGCGCTGGGGGTGGGGGCCCTATGCGTTGCAGGCTCCCAGGGCGTGGCAGGCGGGGCATTTCCTCGACGCCATAGGGGGTGCGCTGGGGGCGGGGGCCCTATGCGCTACAGGCTCGCAGGGCGTGGCAGGCGTGGCATTTCCTCGACGCCACAGGGGGTGCGCTGGGGGTGAGGGCCCTATGCACTGCAGGCTCCCAGGGCGTGGCAGGCGTGGCATTTCCTCGACGCCAAAGGGGGTGCGCTGGGGGTGAGGGCCCTTTGAGGAGGAGGACGGGGAGGTGGGGCAGCAGCAGCGGCAGCAGCAGCAGCAGCTGCAGCAGCAGACGCAGCAGCAGCAGCAGCAGCAGCAGCAGAAGCAGCAGGAGGAGGAGGAGGAGGAGGATGAGGACACCGAGGAGGAGAAGGAGGAGCAGCAGCAGAAGCACCGATGGTACACATGGGAAATAAAATAGGTATCTGGGGTTCCTCGGTACCGTAATCGTCGGTTCTCCGCCGCCGACGACGGCGACGGCGACGGCGACGGCGACGACGACGGCGACGGCGACGGCGACGGCGACGGCGACGACGACGTGGCGGGCCTTCGACCGCGAGACGAGCGTCGTGGCCCTCCGCCGCCGCGGCCCGGAGGGCGGCGTCCAGCGGCGCCAGGGCCAGGCCGCGCAGCCTCAGGAGCGCGCCGTGCGCCTATCTCGGGGGCGCGGGAGGCGGTGGGAGGGCCCCCTGCGCCTCCGGCGCCTCCTGGCCCCCTCCCTCCTCGCTCCTCCTCGCCTCCTCCCTCCTCCCTCCTCCCTCCTCGCTCCTCCTCGCTCCTCCTCCTTCCTCCCTCCTCCCCCCCTGCTTCTCCCTGCTCCTCCCTGCTCCTGCTCCTCCTCCCTCTCCAAGGGGGGGGGGAGGAGGAGGGAGGAGGCCTCCTGCCGCGGGAGCCCGCGAGCGGCGGAGCAACCCCGCCCCGCTTGCTGCACGGTGGGCAGGGGAGCAAACAAGGGTAAAGACGTCATTTCCTATTTGCCTCGAAGCAAAAAAAACAACAAGGAGTTAGGAGGCAACTGCTGGGGGATTTCGCCGGAAAGATTAAGGAGGATGAAGCCCCATGTGGGAGCTATTACGCCGGAAGGGGCCTCGGATTCAGCGGGATTGCGCCGGATTAAGCGGGATTGAACGGGACTAAGCAGGATTAAACGGGATTAAACCGGATTAAGCCGGACTTCGGACCAGTGCAACATCAGAATTTGACCTCTCAGGAGTTGCATCCCAAAAGGAGGTAGCAGAACACAGCCAAGGTAACAAACAGGTAGCGAGGCGGAGGAGGAAGCAAGAAAGGCAAAGGCGCTCCAGGGATGGAGCCTCCGATCCTGGCCACGAGCAGGGCCGGAAAAGAAATGTGTCCCCGCGGGGGTTCTGAAACGCGGGGGCGACGGGCCTATCACCCGCGGCCAGCCTGGCGCGCCACGAGGAGGAGGAGGAGGAGGAGAAGGAGAAGGAGCAGGAGGAGGAGGGAGGAGGAGGGGGAGGGAGGAGGAGGGAGGAGGGAGGAGGGAGGAGGAGGAGGATGGACGAGGACGAGGAGGAGGGAGGCAGCGGTGGTAGTAGTAGTAGTAGTAGTAGTCAGTAGTCGTAGTAGTAGTAGTAGAGTAGTAGTAGTAAATAGTAGTAGTAGTCGTAGTCGTAGTAGTCGTAGTAGTTGTTTTTTTTTTTTTTTTATAGAGTAGTAGTAGTAGGTCGTAGTGTAGGTGTAGTAGTAGTAGTAGTAGTAGTAGTAGTAGTACTAGTACTAGTTAGTAGTAGTAGTAGTAGTAGTAGTAGTATAGTAGTGCAGTAGCAGTAGCAGTAGCAGTGTAGTAGTTAGTAGTAGCAGTAGCAGTTAGTAGTAGTAGTAGGAGTATGAGTAGTTGTAGAGTAGTAGTAGTAGTAGCGTAGTTCAGTAGTAGTTAGTAGTAGTAGTAGTAGTAGTAGTAGTAGTACTAGTAGTAGTAGTCTAGTAGTTAGTAGTAGTGTAGATAGTAGTAGTAGTAGTAGCAGTAGTCGTAGTAGTAGTAGTAGTAGTAGTAGTAGTAGTAGTGGTAGTAGTAGTAGTAGTAGTAGTAGTAGTAGTAGTAGTAATCGTAGTCGTAGTCGTAGTCGTAGTCGACGTCGTAGTCGTAGTATTAGTCGTAGTCGTAGTCGTAGTCGTAGTAGTAGTAGTAGTAGTAGTAGTAGTAGTAGTAGTAGTAGTAGTAGTAGTAGTAGTAGTCAGTAGTAAGTAGTAAGTAGTAGTAGGAGCAGCAGCAATAGTGGATGCTGTCCTCCTCCTTCTCCTCACCGTCGTAGTTGTAGCAGTAGCGGTAGTAGTAGTAGTAGTAGTAGTAGTAGTAGTAGTAGTAGTAGTAGTAGTAGTAGTAGGTCGTAGGTCGTAGGTCGTAGGTCGTAGGTCGTAGGTCGTAGGTCGTAGGTAGTAGGTAGTAGGCAGTAGATAGTAGAAGTAGTAGTAGTAGTAGTAGTCGAGTCGTAGTCGTGTCGTAGGTGCGGGCGAGGTAGTAGTAGTAGAGTGTAGTAGTAGCTGGTAGTAGTAGTTTAGTAGTATTAGTATAGTATTCGTAGTAGTAGTAGTAGGAGTAGAGTGAGTAGTAGGAGTAGGAGTAGTAAAGTAGTAGTAGTAAATCGTAGGAGGTAGTCGTCGCTCGTAGTAGTAGTAGTAGTAGTAGTAGTAGTAGTAGGTAGTCGTAGTAGGAGTATTAGTAGTTAGTAGTAGTAGTAGTCGTTAGTAGAAGTAGTTAGTAGTAGTAGTCGTAGTAGTAGTAGTAGTAGTAGTAGTAGTAGTAGTAGTCGTAGTAGTAGTAGTAGTAGTAGTAGTAGTAGTAGTAGTAGTAGTAGTAGTAGTAGTAGTAGTAGTAGTAGTAGTAGTAGTAGTAGGAGTAGAAGTAGTAGTAGTAGTAGTAGTAGTAGTAGTAGTAGTAGTAGTAGTAGTAGTAGTAGTAGTAGTAGTAGTCGTAGTAGTAGTAGTAGTCAGTAGTCAGTAGTAGTAGTAGTAGTAGTAGTAGTAGTAGTAGTAGTAGTAGTAGTAGTAGTAGTAGTAGTAGTAGTAGTAGTAATCGTCGTCGTCGTCGTCGTAGTCGTAGTCGTAGTCGTTGTCGTAGTAGTAGTAATAATACTAAAAAATAGTACTACTAGTAGTCGTAGTAGTAGTAGTAGTAGTAGTAGTAGTAGTAGTAGTAGTTGTAGTAGTAGTAGTAGTAGAGTAGTAGGTAGTAGTTAGTAGTAGTAGTAGTAGTAGTTAGTAGTAGTGATGTATAGTAGTGAGTAGTAGTAGTAGTAGTAGTAGTCGTAGTAGTAGTAGTAGTAGTAGTTAGTAGTAGTAGTAGTAGTAGTAGTAGTAGTAGTAGTAGTAGTAGTAGTAAGTAGTAGTAGTTGGAGGAGGAGGAGGAGGAGGAGAGGGAGGAGGAGGGGAGGAGGAGCAGGAGTAGGAGTAGGAGTAGCAGTAGTAGTAGCAGTAGCAGTAGTAGTAGTTAGTAGTAGTAGTAGAGTAGGAGGGTAGAAGAGGAGGAGGAGGAGGGGGAGGAGGAGGAGGAGGACAAGGATGAGGGGGGGGGAGGAGGAGGAGGAGGAGGAGAGGCAGGAGGAGGAGGAGGAGGAGGATGAGGGAAATGAGGAGGAGTAGGAAAGGAGGAGGAGGAGGAGGAGGAGGAGAAGGAAAGTGCGGGCACGAATCGCTGAGGAGCTCGGCCGTTCGCCCATGCGTGGTGCCCCTCCGCCCCGATGCCCGCGACACAAAAAAACCAGTTCCTGGATTTGCACCATAGCTATTTCCAGAGACGCGTCAGCATGGCATGCTCTTTTCAGTCGCCTGCGCATGCAACTATTTCATCTCGTGCGAATATCCGCAAAGCTTGCAATCGCCTCGGCTACGCTGCTCGTAAGCATCTTGTTGCACCGTCGCTCTCTCTAACGACATCCTCTGCTCCTAGAAGCGGGTCGCGGCGGTGATCAGGAAAAAAACAAGCTGTCAAGTATATGTGCAATAGTGTTGGGCGTGACAGAACTGCCGAAGTGATTGAGGCGAGCGCCAAAAGTTTGCAACTGCCGCGCTACAAGCTGAATGTACTAGCTTTCGCCCTTGTCCCAATCACCGTGGACTCGTTCACCCCGTCGCCATGTTCTCCGCTTCTCGTTCCACGAATACCAGAACCCGACCGCCGCCGTCACGTTCGGCGGAGGACAAGACAGCAACAGCAGACAGCAGCGTCGTAGTCGAAGCCGATAGCGGTGGGCATGACAACAAACGAGCCTATACATAAGGTGCAGCAGCCAACTTGGTTGTTTTGGAGCAACACGCATGGCGTGGTCTCTTTTGGCATTACAAGTACATGTCGACAGCACCGCAAGGTTCTTCTCAAAGTACACAAACTTGTGGACACCAGACTCGCGACAATGTTCGTTGTGAAAGGAGCGATGAAGTTGACGAGTTCTTGGCTGGCCAAGATATATCAACTAGCGCAGCTTCAGCGCAACTAGTTCAGCGCCCCCATTGGTCTGAACTGTTTCGCCATCGCCACCAACCATCACGGAGAAAAGCAATCAAAAGGCCACGCGGAGAGACGCCCACGGGCATATATGTACTACGTCTACGCACGTCTTGGTTAGATGCCTGTTGACTAATCGGAAAAGTTGTAGAAAGGGCTCAGTTTCATGAGTTCAAACGCAGGAAAGCCCTGTTCGACAACGCAAAGGAAACCCTGACAATCCAAAAGGTAATGTTCCTCAAGGTACGGTTCCCCCGGGTTCTAATGCCAATGCAGCATAAGTCGCACGACACACCGACAGCAGCGTTAGCAGACCTCGAAACAGCCCTGGGCCCAAAGTTCCGTACTTGTTTCACCGAATACAGCGCGTGGAAGAGCCTTCTAACCAGGGTCTCCGAAGAAATAGACTCTCTCGCCAGCCGTGGGTGGTCAAAGGGATCCACTTCGATACAGGCCCCATACAAGCAGCGCTCCGCCACTGGGGAGGAGGAGGGGGAAGCAGGAGGAGAAGGAGGAGGAGGAGAAGGAGGAGGAGGAGGCGGAGGAGGAGGAGGACGACGAGGAAGAAGAGGAGGAGGAGGAGAAGTCTTGCACACTGGTCTTGCACACAGATTGGAATAGACTCTGGACGCCTCGCGCTCCACACCTTCATCGTCGTCTCTATCCTTCCTCTACACGTACACGCCTTTGTCTTCACCTGCCTCCTCATATTTCCTCATCGCTGTCCTCCACCTCCTCCTCTCGTCCCCACGGCGCGCACTTGGCGCGTCGTCGCCGGGCCTGCTGGTCACACGTGCGATCAGGGAACAGTCACGCAGAGAGGTAGAAGGTATATGCAGGATCGATGGTGGTGGGGGGAGAAGACGGCATTCCTGCTAGCGCTCGGTTGCTCCTCCGCAGCCCGTGGTGGACCGAGCATCTTGATGTTGTGACGCGTGTGCCGCGCAGCGGCGCCCGAGACGGACCGGCGGCGAGTGCAGCCCCGCTCCTCGGTCCGCGCCCATATTCCTGCCGTAATTCGTGGTGGCCATGGAGTCGGCACCTCAGTTGATCGCGCGCATGGGAGGCCGCGTCTTTCTGCCACCAGTCGAGGCGCCCGAGGCGTCGAGGGGGAGGTTTAGGTGCGGGTGGGTCCGAGGAGGACGAGTTGGGGAGGCAGTGATGGAATAGAAGGCTTCACTGCGAGCGCTTGGTGCTTCCTCTGCAACCTGCAATGGACCGATCACCTTGATGTCGCGGTGTATGCTCGAGCGCAGCGGCGCCCGAGACGCCGTGGGGTCGGCATCCCTCAGTTGATTTCTGCGCGTATGGGAGGCCGCTTCTCCCTGCCACCAGTCGTGGGGATGAGGAGGGGGAGGTGAGGAGGGGAGGTACAGTCGGGGCGTTGACCTAAGGAACCCTACATAAGGAACGGGGCCCCTTTCTCCCTTCGATTTCCCATCGGAAGCCTCAGGAAAACTGAAGGCAAACTGCAAAACAATCAAGGAACGCCGAGCCCCTCTCCAACGAAAAAGGTTCCTTCTTCAGGGCCCCGACTGTACGGTGTTGGAGGAGATGCGGATGCGTGGTGCAAAGATGCGCGGGTGGGAGCCCGCGGGTCATGCATCGCAGCGACACGTGACCGCGTGTCCGCCGGAGGCCCGTCGAGCAACCGCCTGCGCGCTGGTCGTGGCAGGAGGCCACGGGTCAGCCATAGTTTACCAGCCTGGAACATATCCCTATACCTATGCTGGGCACCTCCTCATCACGATGCCAATCTGAGGGATTCCCTTACTTTTTGAGGGCGAATCCCTAAGATTGTCATCGCCTTGTGGCGTGTCAATCTTAGGGGTAGGGATACGTTCGAGGCTGGTAAATAGTCTATCGGTGCTGTCATGGTCGGCCTTGGTTGGGTCCGACCGGACTCTGCAGCTTGCCGGCAATTCGAAAGCCCGATCGACTGCCCGTCCAGGCGGGCTCACTCGGATTCCGCCGCCAGTCGGACCGTGTCGAGAGCGTCCTAGCGCACTCTCTCCACAGCTCTTGTTGCGAAAAGGTTTGTCGTCTTGCTTGGATGTTTTCTTGCACCACGATTCGCTGTTTACCGTGCCGCTGCTTGCCGAATGTGTGTCGCAATGAAGTGTGGCCACCTTTGCGGTGCAAGCTGGAGGGGGGAAATACAACAGGTGGATATTATGGGTGGGGTCCTGGATACTCACTAAGACGGGTTTCTGACTCAAGACCGATTTTCATTCGTTGATCTTTTGGGAGCAGCGTTTCGGATTCAGATGCCACGCAAAGTGTTCCTCCTGCGTGCACGCGGTACTGAGCAGCCATGGGGCGACGTCGACTGCACACATGTTCGATAGTTCAGGTTATCCTGAGGCTTGGTGGGAGGGTCGGATTGAGGAGGTAGTGATGGAATAGGAAGGCTTCACTGCGAGCGCTCTGTTCCTCTGCAACCTGCAGTGGACCGATCACCTTGATGTCGCGGTGTATGCTCGAGCGCAGCGGCACCCGAGACGAATAGCGACTGAATGCAGCCCCGCTCCTCGGTCCGCTCCGCCTCCATTCGCCTGGGCGTAGTGGTGAGCCAGTGAGGCAGGTGGCCACCAAGACAGAATGTGGAGTCGGCATCTCTCAGTTGATTGTTGCGCGTATGGGAGGCCGTTTCTTTCTGTCACCAGTCGTGGTACCCGAAGCGTAGCGGGGGAGGTATGAAGGTGGTGGATGGATGCAGGTTGGGGAAGGGGGAAGAGACGGCATTCGCTGCGAGCGGACGGTTGCTTCCTCTGCAACCCGTTGAGGACCGAGCGCCTTGACGTTGTGGTGCACGTTCCAGCGCAGCGGCGCCAGATATGGACATGTATGAGAGCCCGTCTTTTTTGTAGCCGTCAGTTTTGATGTTTGCAACGTGCTGTGGACCGACCACCTTGATGTTGCAGTGTCTGTGCTGATGGCCGCCAGGAGCTATACTGAACAATCCCATCGGCTACGACACTTTCCCCGACCACTTCGGAGGAGGAGGCTCGGAGGGGATAGGGTGGTGGTGAGTGGTAGAGGAGGAAGGACGTGCGAGTCGACCGCTGAGAGCGTGTTCCGCGCCAGAGCTATATGCTCACCGAGCTTCTGAGCAGCATCTTGATCACAAAAGATAAGTGTCGAATACGTTTGCCTGCCTGAGGCCAGCCAGTACCGTCTGAGCCAGCCTGCCACGGCAGAGCACCGCGTGTTTCACGCTGCCACTTAGGCCAGCCAGACGATTTGGCCAGCCAGACACTGGGGAGGGCAGGCTCTCGATTGCAGAGGTGGGAGGATCGATGAGCAGGAGATGCGGTGCGAAAGAGAGGGACTTCACCGACTGGCTGGCGCATACTCAGTGCCATTGCGGGACCACGGTCTTTTTCCATCTCTGCACGCCTCTCTGTCTGCCGCTGCGCCAACCAGGCGTACTTATGTTATTCCTTACCTCGCACTGTTTTTCCACGACGCAGCAAACTGAGTTCTTCATGCCTGATCAACAACAACAGGATGAGGAGGAGGAGGCGGGACGAGGAGGAAGAGGACGAGGAGAAGAAAGAGGAAGAGGTGGAAGGAGGCGGGAGGAGGAGGAGGCGGAGGCGGAAGAGGAGAAGAAAAAAGGGGAGCCTTATGTAGGCAGTACGGGGAAACTTCTCTGACGCCCTCGGCCAGGCCATCCGCCCCCTCCGAGGCCGACCGGGGCCGGCGGGACGCCGACCGCTGCAGCACGAGCTGGTGCAGTCGTCGTGCCGATGTTGAGGGGGCCCTGAGACACACAAACACACACACAAATGAGAAGATTCCCAATAGTTTCCTAGACTTCCTGGGTTTCTGTCTTCCCCCCCACTTCCCATAGTTTCCCATATTTTTTCGGGGGAATCGAGGATGAATTGTGTCTGTGTGTTTCTTTTCCTCCTGAGCTGTGGGGGGCGCCAGAGGGGGAGAGCGCAAAGGGGGCCTGTTCCCGGCCACGGCGAGCCCGGGGCACGACTAGGTAGGCCCCCCGACCCACAGGAAGCCAAGGGAGGTCCCCAGAGCCAGAGAATCCCTCCTGAGCTCCAGCTGGCCCTTCTTTGTACAATCGAGGCGTTGCCCTAAGGAACCCTAGTTATAAGGAGCGAGGCCCCTTTTTTCCATAAGTTACACTTCGATGTCCTATCGAAGCCCTAAGGAAAATCCAAAGCAAGCTGCGAAACAATGAAGGAACACGGAGCCCCTCCCCAACGAAAAGGGTTCCTTCTTCAGGGCCCCGACTGTAGCGTCCTGGCCGTGCAGGGGAGGACGCACGCAGACTCTGCGTACACCTGGCGCGAGGGCCAACCGAGAACCAGAGTCCCTCCCGCGCCCCAGCTGGGCGACGAAGAGAAAAGGGGTCTTGCGCGAGAGGGCGTGGCGACCTTACGCGGTGGCTTGCGCCCTCCGCCGGCGAGGCATGCTATATAGGAAACGAGGACGCTGACGCGCGAGCTTACGCGAGCAGCTTACGCGCCAATGTCGGCGCAGACGAGCCCGCTGTTTTGCGTCGCCCAGCTGGCCCTCGATTCAGCGCCCTGACCGTGCAGGGGAGGACGCACGCAGGTTCTGCGTACAACTGGCGCGAGGGCCATAACAACAACCCTGGCTCCTAGGGTTCGTCGAGATGGTGCCCGTGTTATTCGGTTATTCGGGATAAGGGGTTTGCCACCTAGGAGTGCTTTCATGTCGGGTACCTCCAGGAGGCCTGAGGCCTTCGGCGAAGGTTGGCGTGCCCGCGACGGGCACGGATAAAAATGAGCACGATGCACAACAGCAAGAAGTGTTGCCCCAAACCGACAGCGACCGCCGCTCGGCAAGCGAGCCTGTGTCTCGTTGACGGACAACGCCCGCGGCCACACAGAGAGCGAAGGCCCTTCAGAATGGAAGAGAACCGCTGCTGCTGGCCTGCGCCCCACCAGTCCTTCCGTGCCCGCTTCGGTCCTCCCGAGAAGGGGCTCGTGCTCTTGACCCACGTTCTCGTGGCCGTGCCTCAACCTTCCTGCGAGGCGGGGGTTTCTCCATATCCACCGCCTGGGAACCGACGTCCTCGTGCCCCAGCGGGCTTGTGGATCTGGATACATTCTGGCCCCTGGGGGTCCGAATATGCCCATATCCACCGCCTGCCGAAATCCCCGAAATTGATTCTCCAGGCGGTGGTCATGTATAAATTCCCGCCTCGGACTTACTTGTTGATGTTGTGCGGGCGATAGACAAACCTAACTCATGAGTAACTCTCGGCCTCGCGGTTCGCAGCACTTCGGCCGCACTTCGCACAGAAACTGCTGACTGCGCGGCAAGCGATGGACACCACGCCAAGGGAGAAGGAAAAGGAAGAGGAAGGAGGGAAGGGGAGGGAGAACCAGAGGGAGGGAGGATCATAGGGACCAGAGGAAGAAGGGCAGGACGCCTCGGACTTACGGATCAACGAACGGGGAAGGATGCCCGCGGACTCTGCACCGGCCCCGCGCCTGCAGCACCAGCAGCGTCACGGCCGCCGCGCCGCCCGCGCTCGCCGCGGGGGGCTCCTCGAAGCAGGACGCCTCCGCGAAGACGGGGACCGGGCCGCCCCCGCTGCCGTGAGCCTGAGAAGTCAGGGCAGAGAGCCTCCTCCGAACTGTGCAAGATCGGCGGCGAGCGAGGGGGGGAAGCGAGAAGGAGAAGGGCTTCTCAGAAGGCGGCGGGGCGTCTCAGAAGCCCTCTCGCGCCTGCCGGGAAGTTTTCTTCGGTGCCTTCGGGGAAGGCTCGGGAAACTCAGAAGGCTGGGGGACCTCCGAGCCTTCTGGGAAGGCCCGCCCGCCCCGTCTCGCTTCCCCCCAGGCTCGCCGCCGACAAGAGGCGAGGGGGGGGGGGGAAGCCACTGGGTGCAAAAGAGCGGGCCGTCTTTCGCTGGGCGTGGGGGGTGGGATCGCTCGAGCAAGCGGGCTCGCGGGGGGGCCAGGATCAAGGGGTCCAAGCACACACAAATAAATACACACAAATAAACTGATTCCCCACATTTTCCATATTTTCTGGGTTTCTGTCTTCCCCCCCACTTCCCATTTTCCCATATTTTCCAGGGGATCGACGATTCATTGTGTCTGTGTGTTTTTTCGCCTCCTGACAGGAGCAAGCCGTCGGGCGGGGTGGCGCTGGGGAGGCCGCCTGTCAGACAGCCTGGAACTCCCTGCCGCGCCCCATCCGCTTTTGGGAGGCTCGCGGATCGAAGTTCAAGGATCGAGGATGTTCGGCGCCCCTGGCCTTTCCTCGGCCTCCTCCTTGTTGCCACGCCTGGACCCGCCTCGGGATGCCAGTCCAGACGTGCCCCAAGACAGGTCCAACGGCTGACTACTTACCTCAAGACCGGTCGGACCCGCTCGCGTCGCGAAACATCACGTCGAGTAGTTGTACGGCGTTTTCGGCGTCTTGGGACCTTCTCATGATGATGATGATGATGATGATGATGATGATGATGATGATGATGATGATGATGATGATGATGATGATGATGGTGATGATGATGATGATAATGCTGATGATGCTGATGATGATGCTGATGATGCTGATGATGCTGATGATGATGCTGCTGCTGCTGCTGCTGATGATGATGATGATGATGATGATGATGATGATGATGATGATGATAATGATGATGATGATGCTTGGGGCCTTCTCAAGCCCCAGAGCCGTCAACCAGCAGCTCGGGATGGCCCTGGACAAGGGTCGGCGGACAGTGACGGCGACTTTCTGTGATCACCTGTCACCAGCATGCAAGACCGGCAGCCTGTGCCAGAAGACCTGGGCCATTGAATGATGTGATGCCTATCAAGTGCTCGCCCACCCAACAATCTCGGGTCGGGCGAAAGGGGGGATAGCAAAGGGGGGGTTTGAGAATCAGCTCACGTAGCTAATTTTCCCGGCGCCTCCCGGCGCCGGGAGGCGCCCATGTATCGAGGAATGGGCCCGGCGGCAGGGCCGAAACCAGCTGCATGCAGCAAATTTCGTAACCCCCCCTTTCCCAATCCCCCCCTTTCGCCCGGCCCGACAATCGAACTGCGCTGGCCATCGCGGAATCCTGTCTTGTGGTACACGGTGGTCTGCGCCATCGCAGGAGGACGACACACTGTGCGACGAGATCGCCCAGGTACCCTCATGTAGCAGATCGCGCTTTCTCTAGTTGGGCAGGTACAACGATGAGCAATTGCCTGCCCTGCAAGGTATTCGACAGGGAGCTTGAACTAAGCAAATGTGTGTACGCACCTCACTTCATGCAATCGCTGGAATGTCGAATTCGATCAATACGCCGTGGTGCATGGGCGGTGCACACTGGAAGTGCTTCGATGATGAACGTTTGCTCGCGGCTGCGGCGCCGGCGACACACCATGCCTTGCGAGCGGATATGAAGGGGAACTGGGACACACAAATAGATACACACAAATAAAACTATCCCCCATAGCTTCACGTAGCTTCTGGGTTTCTGTCTTCCCCCCCACTGCCCACATTTTCCCATATCTTTCTGGGAATCGCCGATTAATTGTGTCTGTGTGTGTGTTTTCACTCCTCCCGAGGATATAGCGCGCCGATTCGTCTCCCGGCGAAGGGAGGCTGCGAAGAGCTCGGGACGCCGACGCCAGGGAATGTGACTACCTACCAAACCACCCCAACCCAACCCGAAGACCCGAATTTGACCCGAATTTCGGGTTGGGGGGGGTAAGGGTTCCATGTGTTTTTTCGACGTTCCCCGACCCCCCCCACTGGAAATCGAGGGTAAATCTGATCCTTCGGGTTGGGTTGGGGTGGTCTGGTAGGTGGTGGGAATGGGCACGTGGTTGGCGTGGCGCGCCGAGGCGTGGTGGACCAGATCTGGCGGCGAGCGAATCGCGCCTGGCAGATCCAGCACATCCCCCCCCCTGCCGTCCCGTCCGCTCTCCGTCCCCCTCCTTTCCTTCGGCGACCGTCCTCCTCCTCCTCCTGCCTCCTCCTCCTCCTCCTCCTCCTCCTCCTCCTCCCTCCTCCTCCCTCCTCCTCCCTCCTCCTCCTCCTCCTCCCTCCTCCTCCTCCTCCTGCCTCCTCCTCCCTCCTCCTGCCTCCTCCTCCTCCTCCTCCTCCTCCGCCAGCTAGCAGGAAAGGAGCGCCGCCTAGACCGGGGGGCACCGATGGTGGGGGGGACTGGACCGTTCAAAAGCAACCCGGGATGGGAAAGCGGCCCTAAGCCGAGGGTCGGGACGCCCAGGGGCCCGTGTTCGAAAAAACATCGGGGCGTCGCAAATCTGGGAACGGGTCCTGAGGTACGTAAAGAGGTCCTGGAGCCCGGGGGGCTTTCCCCAGGGCCAGCGTGTCGCCCTGAGCCGTCTCCTGACGGCCCCAGCTGTCGGGGAGGGCCCCGGGAGCCTCGTCTCCATGAGGAGCCTGCTTCCTTCAGGGCCGTCTAGCTTTCGGGCCATAACTTGGGTTAGGTCGGACATGTCCTCCTACAGGCGGATTTTGACAGAAAGATAACGCATAGCCCCAACAGAGTCCAAACATAACCAAAAAATGGTGGAAACATCGTCCCCAGGCTGTTTGTCTACTACTTCTGAGTATTCCTCCTGTGGAGGGGCAGGCCCGACTTCTCACTTCCGGCCCATACCTTGAGCCTCTGGCGGCCGCTCGGGACGGCTCGGGCACCCCAGCAGCTCTCCCGGCGAGGCGCAGCCTTCGACAGGCACCCCGCGGCTGGAGGACAAGCCGCTCCGAGACTTCGAACCTTGATCCCTCGAAGCTCCATGCGGAGGCTCATGGATAGGACGGGACCCAAGAGCGGGTTTTGCATTGTTCGAGGCACCTCGTCCTCAGGACCACATCCCGCAGGACCCCATCTTTGGACCACCGATCCGTGGATCGTCCTGCCTCAGTGCGCTGCGGACAGTCAGGCCTCGTCGCTCGACGGACCCGCAGGGAGGGCGACGGCGGGAGCCTCCGCGGCGCTGTGCGACCAGACGTCGCACTGCGACGGCAGGTGGAACAGCCTAATCCGC